TTTTTTTTTCAATAGGTTGATGCTTGTCACAAAACTGGAAGGGGATTGAAAATCCTTTAGCCCAAGTGCCTCAATTTATGCAGAATTCTAATGGGATTTCTCAAGGCCATGTCCAAGGAGGATTAGCAAATCGGTGCTCTTTTTTCACAGGGTGCTGTCTCCCTCACCAGAAAGGCCCAGTCAGCGAGTGCCCAGTTTGGCTCTCTGGTGACTCACAAATTCCCTGCTTTAACTGGAAACCAAACTGGGCACATCCTCCTTGGTCGTGAGGACCAGCCTAGAGCTGGGTCAGTCTATTTTCAGAAGAACAACTGGTTACAGGCTGGAAGCTGAGGGGGAAGTTAAAAAAGTCAATGCCTAAGTTTCCAATAAAGGGGATGACATTTGAAAGTTGTTTTGGCCTCATTCCAGAGACTATGGGATGGTTGGAAAAATCAACAATAAGGACCAAGATGCTTCATAACTCACAGAACAATTTCCCAACTGAGTAGTTAGCCACTTAGAACTTAGTCCTCTGCTGGGGTTGGCACAATCATTTTGCTTTTCCTTCCTCCCTTCTTACTATTTAAATGAGAAGGGGAAGAATATGAAAATATGACCTAAGCCTAAGGAAAAAAAAAGGTTGAAGTAGGAGACAAAAATAGTCGAAGAAAAGATTTGGGTCACATTAGAGCCAACGGAGATTAATAATGGCTCTTGGCAACATGAAGAGGTTATTCCTATAGAGAACTGAATCACTTTAAGTCACTTATAGTAAATTCATTTACTTACATAATTGCGTAGAATATAAGAATTTGGTGGAGAGTTGGACATTTCTGAGACTTTACTTTGTGTAAGATTCCAATGGTCTCTGACTGACCTGTCGGGTGGAAAACAAAACGTGNGGGAAGCAGAGTGTTGAACCTTAGTAACAGTGTGTGACAAGTTTCAACTTGTTTGGTGCAGTCAGTCGAGTGTGAGCTACGGTTCAGAGAAGGTGTGTTTTAAAGTGAGCTGGAAATCATCCTCCATCATGACAATGCTCCGTGTCACACATCGCTTCTGGTATGGCAATTTTTGTCCAATAAAAGCATTATGGTGTGTACTCATCCACTTTATTCACCGGGTCTGGCACCATGTGACTTCTGGCTCTTCCCCAAAGTCAAAATGATTTAGGACATCGAGGCAGCCACGACAACACAACTGAAGACACGAAAGAGGACTTCCAGAAATGCTTCAGAAAGTGGCAGGAACGATGGGATCAGTGTGTTTCAAGCAAGGGGGGCTATTTTGAGGAGGATTAATGCAATGTGTCTTTTACTGTAATAAATTTTTAAAAATTTAAACATTCACCATATTGTTTGATCACACCTCGTATACAGCTTTTAAAAATTTTTCCTTCTTCCTCTTTCCCTCATCAAGCTATCCACTATGGTTAGAAATGGAACGTAGCTTTTATGCTTTCATAGAAATAGGAGGTAAAATATTAGAAGTTAACGTGAAATATGAGTAACCAAAATATTCTACTCCCTCTCTCTTCCAAACCGAAATAAACACCACTCTCAGTGCATATATTTCTGGTTGTACATGTCTGAGGTAGCCTAACAATCAACAACAGCCTACAATTTTCTGTATAGAACTATGAGGGATAGTTAGGGCAACCTGGAAGCAAAGAGGGGCTAGGAAGTGGTCCCAGAGCTGCACTTGCACAGCAAGCACAACTTTCAAGTATCTGAGATGGCTTT